TTCCTCCGGCAAATATTCGTCTAATAATTAAAGAAAAACTATGCAATCTGATCGCAGCAAATATTTGGTATTTGATCATATTATGGAAGAATTATTAATTAATCGTAGGTAGACAATTGAGAGGAAAAAATATGCAGGGAAAGTATAATGTAAAAGATTGTTTTTAAATTATTTCTTCGGTATCACTATATTCACTTTTTTTTAACAGAGCTTTGGTGTGAATTTCAATCACGTTCGATCGAATTACAATTCTTTATTCGTGCTCTATATTATTCATTCCACGTGCGTCGTAATGTTGTTTTGCATTCGAGAAAGCTGCGCAAAGCGTCGAGTTGTACATGTGTATGTATAAAATCAATACATTTAAGAAATTAATTCATTAAAACCTATAATCATTTGATAAAGAGAGCAAAGTCAATAATATAAATAACGTCTATATTATTTATAAATAAAATTAACGTTGTATGAAATAACACAGCGATGACACTTTATATTGGAAAAATCCGATAAATAATCGCAGAATAAGCGCAATTATTTGATATTTTTCACAGTGTATTTGTACTTTGTCATGAAATATAGAATGCTAATAATGTCTTAATCTGTTGCGTTAATTTATGTTGATGCATTTTTTATGAGTTGATCGCGCACAAATTTAAATATATGTTTTTCCAAGACTCATTTTATCGTTTATTTTATGATATTATTATCGGTTTTGTATTCAAGTGAGTATCTGATGGTAGAAGAAATAAAAGAATTACTCCAATAATTTTTTTAATATTGATGTGTATTCGTTAATTATTTAAAGTTTTATCGCATCTTAACCTATTTTAATTATGAAATATTATGTTTATTTTTTTTAATTAAAAATTGAAAGAAAATTATGTTTTGTAACTACAAATATTTTAATTAAAAAAATACGTTATATATCTTTCTAGTTTCATATTACTTGCGAAAACTATACGTATTTTTTGCATTTCCTTTATATATTAAAGATTAAAATGATAAATTAATAATTTTATTTTTATTCTGCTTTAAAACAAGTTCTATGTGGCTTGTTATATTCTTCGTAATTTTTCCGTGCAATTTTATCATTACGCTATGTTACAATAATGCTATACATTGATGCATTAAATTAATCGTTATGTAATAGTCTCGTTGTACGCATTTAAAGAAACCAACGTACGGAACTCTCTTTTACTGTATGTTACCGCGAAATAACGCTAATTCAGGTAAACGAGGAAGAGACAATAACTGAGTTCTAATCATAAAACCGTTATAATACTCCACATTTTTCTTGTTTCAAATAATTGGAGCAATTACGCGATTTGTAAGCAGACCTAGAATAAACCACTTGATTGCGAAAGTATCACGCAAGTTATCCTCTGGCGAGAAATATTGTATTGTTCCATGTAATTTGATTTGATGATTTGATCTAATTGTAAGAATTATATAAAAGGAAAAAAAATAGTAAAAAAAATATATTGAATATTTAAATTTAAAAAAAAAGTAAAATAGAAAAAAAGAATAATTTTTTTAAAAATATAATTTTTATATCTCATGAAATTGTAAATATCACAATAATGTAAGACTATAAAATTCCTATGGTTTTTTATCATAATTGATACAGATTTCCATTTTGATGAAAATTTAAAGCATTTATGGAATGACAGATGCGTTATAAATAATTGATCGATGACAAGCATTTAAATTTTTATAATTTATATCGCGCTTTTCAATTTATGTGATTTGTGTATATGTTAGATAATCAATATGCGAAATTTGATTATAATTGAATAATTGTGATATAGTCAAATAAAACATTGAAAGAATCTTTTGAAAAAACGTTTAATAATCGTATTTTTTTGTTTTCTCTTTCTTCAATATGATTTATGCATAAAGATATTCTAATGTAATTCACACACATGCGCGCGCACTTAGCTAAATAAAAATTGATGATAAGATAGCATCACTTTTGAAAATAAGAAATAAAAATGTTTGTAAGGATAAAAATATTAAGGATTTAGAAAAAAAAATTATTATATCAATATTTATTATATCGAATTTATTATATATTTTTAATATCGAATATTGCGTTTGAATTTATTCATGACAATCATTTTTTAATAATTATATAATTTGCAGATTGCTATTATATATTGTCACTTTGAATATCAGCGGAAAATTACAACGTTATAATTATCGTCACGCATATTCTTAACACGACATGTACATATTTTCTCAATTACATAAAGAACAGTGCATAATGTTTTTTATTCTTTCTGCTTTTGATAGAATTAATTTGCAATTGACCAATTTAATTCTAGTTAGTCTCTAAGTCTTCTATCTATGTTATTATGTGATTTATAATCAAAAGTAAATATTAATTTGCAACTTTTTAATGATTATACTATAGAGAATTATTACACATTGGATAGATTATTTATTATGTAAAAAGAAAGAAATTTATTGTAATGTGTATTTTGATCGATTTTTTAGTCAA